ATCGCCAGTACAGTATACTTTTACTATCTTATCTTGCTAGGTCACCAGAATATGTCGTCAATTTTCGCATACTGTAAGGATGTATACATATTTTTCTAATACATAATTTTCATTCAAAATCAATTCAGAATTATTAGTTTATTACTCTGAAAATAAGTCTATAGACATTTTATTTTTCAACTTAGTTTCATTGCTCTTTTACGTTCTAATTATTGATCAAATTTCATCTGTAAACACAAAATTTCTATCTACTCTTGTTTGTATTTTATTATTCAGGATAAATAATTCAACAACAATTAGTAGGTAGTCTTATCAGAAATTTAGTGAATTTTTTGTAGGTTAGACGAACACTGTATGGTTGGTTGGCCAATAAAATTGATTGAAATAAATGTATGAGAGGGAATCAAGGTTGACACTGAGACATTGTTTTTAGACATTTTTCTATGAACACAGAGAAACAAAAGTTGATTTATTTTATTTTTCGTCCTTTTTTACATATTTATGAACAACTTTGAGATCTAAACTGTCACTCAAGAACATTATACTAATCTGAATTCCAGTGAAAATGAACATGAACTATGGGGAGAAATTCTGGCGACTATAGAAATGTCCTAGAGAAATATGATGCTATTTACAGCCAATCAGGAAACATATGTTAGGGACCAGTTATTGATACATTATTTCCATGAGGTTCGTTTTGAGGTCCTCTAATTTATAATTGAAGTGTGCAGACAGACAGACAGACAGAGAGATACAACGCAGAACTTCGTACGTAAGTACATCAGTTCAGGTTGCCATGCCCGATTAGCGCAGAGACGCAACTGTCAGTTCAAATCCAAGAGTGATGGCAATAGTCGAAGCATAAGCAGTAATGGAGAAGATTATAGATCGGAGATATGATTCGAGAAGCATAATTCAGTGAGATAAATTGAGAAGGAGAAAGGTAGAAATGATGAGGAATTCAGAAGGTTAGAATTTCATAGTACACAACAAGTGGATGCATCTACGCCATCGCAAACGATTCTGAGCCATGTCGTTCAAGGTCTTTAACCATCAGTGACTTTCGTCTCACGGACCCCAACCAGGTAGCTTACACCTACCAACATGACTCAGTCCACCTGTCAATGACTTCATTGATTTCTGCCATGTTTTGGTCTGGCCGCCTTAACTTTCTTCCAACCTACTCATACACTGCAAAACATAGCTCGTCGAGGCAGTCGGTTTTCAGGCATACGTAACACATGTTCCAACCACCTCAACTGATGAAGTTTGAATACTTCATCTATTGATCTGTCATCCCTACCTAGCACTCGTTTCCTAACGACAGCATTGCTTACTCGGTCGTGCCAGGATACACGAGCAGTGCTTCGAAGATATCTCTAATTGAATACTGATAACCTACGAATATCCTCTACTCTTAACGTCCATGTTTCACAGCCATAAAGTAGGACAGAGCGAACTGTTGTTCAGTAAACTCGATCTTTGGTTAAAAAATAGATGTCTCATCTGTGCCACAAGTGACGCAGGTCAGCAAAAGCCAATCGAGCCTTCTGTATCCGTTCTGAGATTTCATCAGACACCAGGCCATCAGAACTGATGAGACTCCCGAGATCAGTGAAGCGGTCTACAGGCTCAACTACTTCACTCCCTATCACTAGTAAAGGTGCCGATGCAACCCAATCTTGAAGTAACACTTTGCATTTCGACGGGGAGAACCGCATCCCGAACACGCTTGCATTGTTGCTTATGGTGTTCAGAAGACTGCATTTTGTCAGCGTCTTCACCAAATAGAACTATTTCATCGGCATATTCTAGTTCTGTAAGCGAGCCTCCTGTTAGAACGTCCTCCCCTCAAAAATCTGACGAGGATCATGTTAACTTTAAAAGCATGTCTACGACATAGTTAAACAAAAATAGAGTGAGTGGACAGCCCTGTCGGACACCACTAGAAGTAATGAATTCCGATGACAGTTCACCATAGGCTCTCATTCGACGAGTCGTGTTCGAGTAGGGAGCTTGTATAAGGTTAATGTACTTCTTTGGTTTACCTCTCAATGACAGACACTGCCACAGAACCTCACGATCCACAGATTGAAATTGCCGCCTTAAGGTCCAGGAAAACAACTATTGTAGGACGCCTAAGTGTGTGTCTATGGTTATCTGAGCGTTCTCGCATCGTTTGCGTTAACGGTGCAGTGTGATGAAGGAATGTGAGGAGAGTTAGTCGTGGATATAAGAGAGTTATTAGGGGGTGTAGGAAGGATTCGATTTTGACGTATTTGGTCTCGTGTGTTGTTACGGGTATGAGGGCGGTTGTCACTTCCCGGCTGCCCACACCGTGGAAGGGTGTTTCTTGAGGAACCTGAAAAAGAAGGTAGATTAGTATTGGTCTTAGAGACCTGAGGGCGTGACTGCAATGCGCACGGGACAACTACTTGAGGCCGGTCACGCACGGCCTTTTTATGAAAGGCTTTTTGAGTATTAGCTCCGCTCATTTTAAAGCCCTTATTGGGCAGACCTTACCGACGGAGACGGAAATCCGTGAGGTAATGTGAGGTGTGGCATTTACAGGGTCGACCTTTTCTAACCCTTCCTTCCTTGTGAGAAGGCAGCATCGCTGCAGATGTTGGTTGTCTGATGGAAACACCTTACTGATGTCATACCTCTCTGCAGTCAGCAGTACGACTTCACCCTCAGACTTTGAGTAGCTGCTTTTAGTCTCATCGCTCTCCAATCGACCTGCCTGTCATGGTAAGACCTGCAGGAACATATGTTCCAGCCAATATCGCTCGGTTGGGTCATCACGATAGGCAAGCCCGACTACCACGTCAAGGTATCAGCTACGGTCGAGTGCCTCTTTATAGCAGTTTTCGATATTCATTCCTATGATTCTAATTCGTTTCTCTTTTGTAAATCTTTACATAGGCACAAATAATTTTTTGTTATAGTGATCGAATAGATTCATCATTTCAGGTGTATCCCATAGTTATAATGCCTATAAAATGATATATGTAAACAATCGTTTCGTGATTGCATTTAAATATGCAAAGAGATCTTTACGCTTTTCAGTTCTATTCACACAAAGTTGTTGCAGGTTGAAAATTCTTACTAATAGTAAAAACAAGGTTTGATTTAGACTTCCAAGATGAGTGAGTTGGTTGAAGCACTTAAATATTTCATTTCTTATGATTGGTACAAGCGATGGTTCAGATCACTTTTAAGTATCATTTTGCATTTAAAAGAATATAAATGCGTCTTCAACATGATTAAATTGCCACTGAAAGAGATTAAAAGAATCCATTTTCTCAGCATTTCCATCTAGTGGGACTACGTCATCTGTATATCCTAAGTCAGTAAGTAAATATTCTAGTAGGAGATCAACCACTGGAAGGTTAGATGTGGTAAATGTGATTTGCAGGATAATATATATGGCTTGATATTCATGATTCTGATGAGAGTTTGTCATAAGTTTAAATTGACCGACCGTATTTAAGTAAGGAGTCTTCACAGGGTTTATATATCTTTTTCATACACTCTTTGGTGATAAACACGAACATGGAAGTTATACTTACACTGAAAAAACCCACTAGGAGCTGCTGTCGAGTTTTCATAAACATGTGTATGGGTGTTTAGGAGATAATATACATCGGCGACACGAGATTCTATGGTCTAAATTAATGACGCCTGTAGCACTATTTGAGATAGCTTTCGGACGTAGGAAGCTTCAATACATAATTTGAAGAGCAATTTCAGGGAACCTGGGGTAGTAGTTCCTAGCTTTAAATTATTAGCACTGCACAAAAATAAGAGACAAAATGTGAGGATAGAATAAATTTTGTTTGCGGACAAAGTTATCATGCCCTTTGCCACAGGTATGTAGACACTTGTCATTTCGAGGTTTCCCATACTTAGAAGAAACTTCTTGAGCTACTTTGGAAAGACAATCGACTAGAGGTGTTCTTGGTCACACAAGGGCGCGGCCGTGTCTCAGAGAACAACTAATTGAGGCAAGCTACAAACGACCATGTTGTGGGTAGCTTTAGGTGAGTTAACTACTTTATTATAAGATATTAATGTTGGTATTGGAATTCTGTGCAGCAAGAGGTGCTTTGTTACCTGTAAGACTGATTTTTTTTTATTATGGGAAAGGAGTATCTCTACAAGTGTTTGTTGTCACTACAACTTAGTCCTCAAACTATGTATTTATTGGCTTTAATCTTACCGCTTTCCAACCAACTTACTTGGTATGGTCAGTCAGTCAGTTACAACATGGAACTTCTTGCGTACGTACAAAAGTTCATGTTGCCATATCACATTAGCACAGAGACTCAATTATCAGTTCAAATCCCATAGTGGTCGAGGTAGTAGAAGCAGAAGGGTTCGAAGATATTATTCAAGAAGTATTGTATTTTAGACCTCAAAGAAATAAGCATTTCAGTCAATATAGCTCGGTTAATTCATCACTTCAGGAAAACCTGACACCACATCAAGGTAACAGCTCCAGTTGTGTAACAGTTGATTTGATTCACTGACATTAATTTTCACAGTTCTTGCTATGTTTAAGCCTAATAATTTATATGATAAGTATAAGCTTTTGAATTACTATGGTTGGTGTTTCTAAGTGTAAGAAAACCATAATATGGTTTTCATTACCTTCTCCTAACATTAAACAGTGAATGTCTCTAAAGTATTAAAGAAAATGATAATTCGCCCCATTTACTAATAACAAGTGTTCGTAGTCGATTTCAAAGTTTTATTTGATTTAAATCAATTCTGACCCTATAAACTTAATCATAGTGCTAATATTTTTCTTTTACTTATTCATTTGAATTATTTATATGATGTTCATTTTCCTCTTATCCCTCCTCTACGCTTTACAGTATATCTGGCCATTACCATTTCCTTATCCAAAAAATTACTCATGGACACCAATTATCATCTCGATCGATCTGTTCACAAATATTACATCTCGTCATATTGAATATGTAAAGTTACTTGAAATGGATTGTCAAAATTTAACATCAAAAATTAATTTTAAATATATGAATTTATCGAATTTCTATGATAATCATATTAGAAATAAATCTTCAGTTAACTTTGAAGAAGCTAGTGAAAAACACCGTAATGATTGTACTACTGATAAACAAGAAAATAAATTGGAATATTCCTTAGAATTATTAGATGTAAATTATCCAAATGAATTTTTGCAAGAAATTCGTCATTTATGCCAATTGACATCATCATCATCATCATCTTTGTCATCTTTGTCATCATTGAAAGGAATATCATCAGAAATTACCACATCATCACCATTTGCAAGTGCACAAATAATTTGTCAATGTAATATTTTACAAAACATGATTGATACTCGTCTACGTGAAATTCACTCTCGTCTTGTATACAATGATGATCAACTTACTTTAATGATGATTGAACAAATAATGTTTGATTTATTTGAGATTCAATTGCCTAATCAAAAGGTAAGTAGTAAATTAATCATTTGTGATGAATCATGATTTGTTTAACATTTCAACAGTGTAACAGATGACGACTAGAGTATGTTCAAAAATTCAAAATATTAATGAATTATGTCACACTAATTAATTTTTCATTTATTAACTCAGTGTAGTTGATTTATATCTATGTAAGGAATATAAATAATTCTTGATCTCTTTCTTATTTCAAGTTTTAGGTCAATTTTAACCATTGATTACTATAGTCCCAAACTAGGGTGAAACTAGTATTCAGTTCTCATGGATTTTATTTTATGGTAGATAAGATGTTTTGCAGCGTTTATACTACGCTTTCGGTACATAAATTTCATTTAGAATATATGAGGATAAAACTGCCTCAATCGCCTCACTAATTCTTAAGTTTTACTTTATTGTGATAGGTTGTTTATAAATGTGTGTTGTGTAAATCACAGAAATTGATTATCAGTATCATAAGTTTTAGAAATTAAGTGATACATATCCTTAGACTTACATTAAAATGCGAATAAGTTACGAATTGAATTGTTTCAGATTATTGAGTTACGTTAATCTGAAAAGGGATTTAGTAATGTGACGGTGGAGATTTGTAGCTCACTGGATGATTTTCAGTGGCTTCATTCTCCGAGTTGATTGTCAAGTAGATTGACTGAGTTAGTTAAATCCTTAAACCCTGTTACATAGATTTTTATTCACTTATTCAAAATGAATTGTCTATTTGACCGAAATGATGAACAATATCTCATTGTTTGTAGTAATGAACACCAATGATCAATGATAACTTAATTAAGTATTCCTTAATTTATTTTTATTTACCAGATGTATTTTGACAGATTTCTGAATATTCTCAATCTTATAGATTTTGCATAGATTGATGATACATTTTAATTATACATAGTCCTAATGATGTTTTGTGATTATTACTTCTAAATATATTTAACCACGTTTGACTTGCTACCTTCAATGTTGAACTACTGACTGGAATTTTTGTTATTTTATTATTCTTCCCACTTTTAGTTCACTTATCTTTCTACTACCAACTTGTACTTTTACTCGTTAGGCGTAGTTATGTAATCTATCTAATCGCAATCATTGATTCATAAATTGCCGTGATTGGTTTAGTATTTTCATATAAAGATTCATGTAGATTAGCGTAAAGCTTGATAACGATCGAATTGAAAACAATATAGTTCGTTTATATTTGTATTAGACCAACTAATATCAGTTCGTATTGTTGATTGTTTTATAGTACTCCTATTGATTTAAAGCATAATTTCTTAAATAATTTAGTTTTAGCGTAATAATAATTATAGAAATAACAACACTTTTTAATCAGTAACATTTGAATATGTAAGTTGTTAATTGGTATTATTTTTTGTCAACACTAAATTATTCAATATTCATCATGTTAAAATCAGCATTTATTTAATTCTTCTTGAACTTGATTCTAATTCATATTAGTTAAACTGTATGTAATAAATTTCTATTTTTATTAAAACATAGTTATAATTAACAGTATACAGAATATTCACATATTTTTAAAAACCACATTCTCGTAGATTGTTTATTGATTTACAGCTGAATAATTTGATTTTTATGATCAAGATCTATAATAATCAGAGTAAAATAACTTATCTTCTACATTAGTTAAAAGGACGATAGAAAAAATGTCTGGGAATTTTAAATGGCTATATATTATATATTGTCAATTCAATAGCTGTATGTGAATGCATAATTCAAATAGTTAATACATGTTTGTTGGTGTTGTACTGGCGTACATTTGCCGAATTAAGAATGACCTATTCACCAGATTACAATCAACGCGATAATTACTGGTGCTGAACATTCCTAGAATTTTTATGGGGAGCCATAGATGTTGGAATTCAACCATATCAAGGAGTAAAATAAATATATCCCATGGCAGTCCCGACCGTAGCTGCTACCTTGACGTGGTGGTCGGGCTTGCCTATCGTGATGACCCAACCGAGCTATACTGCCTGGAACATATGTTCCTCAAGGTTCTACCATGCCAGACAGGTCGATTGGAGAACGATGAGACTAAAAGCAGCTACCCAAGGTCTGAGGGCGAAGTCGTACTGCTGACTGCAGAGGGGTGTGACAGCAGTAAAGTGTTTCCCTCGGACAACCAGCATCTGCAGTGATGCTGCCTTCTCACAAGGAAGGAAGGGTTAGAAAAGGTCGGCCCTAAAAATGTCACACCTCCCCTACCTCACGGATTTCCGTCTCCTTGGGTAAGGGTGCCCACTAAGGGCCTTTAAGAAAGGAGCTGATCCTCAAAAAACATTTCATAAAAAGGCCGTGCGTGACCAGCCTCAAGCAGTTGTCCCTTGGACTCTGCGGTCACGCACCAACACTAATCTATCTTCCTTTTCAGGTTCCTCAAGAAACAACCTTCCACGGTGTGGGCAGCCGGGAAGTGACAACCACCCTCATACCCATAACAGCACGCGAGACCATATTGGTCAAAATCAAATCCTTCCTACACCCCCTAATGTCTCTCTTATCTCCACGACTAACTCTTCTCACATTCATTCATCACAGTGCACAGCTAATGCAGACGATACGAGTTCGCGAAACGTCGTTCCTGGTCTCCTTAAACCTCGCTCTAGACTACATGTTGGAGCATTTAATGTACGGACATTTTGTTAAATAGGGCAACAGGCTTCATTAGCTAGGACTTTAGAAACTCGCTCAATCGATGTGTGCTGCGTCTCGGAAACGCGCATGCAGGATTCTAGTAAAATTATTAATCTGATTTCACCTTGTCAAAAAGAGGCAGCTCGATTTACTCTTCGTGTATCCGGTAGCCCTGATGCTGCTTGCAGGGGTCTTGCTGGCGTAGGCATAGCATTGAGTCGTAGGGCAGAACAATCTCTCCTGACTGGATCCCAATAGATAGTCGATTGTGCGCTGTCCGACTAAACGGGACAGTAAGGACTCGGAAAGATAGGGACACTCGCCGTTGCCTCTTCATCGTATCTGCCTATGCCCCCACTGAATGCAGTTCAGACGAGGTTAAGGATGAGTTTTACAGAAAGCTCTCGGACCTCCTCCAAAAAGCTAGGCGCTGTGATATAGTAATAATGGCTGGTGACTTTAATGCTCAAGTAGGTAGACTAAGTGAGCAGGAGAGACACCTAGGTGGATGTTATGGTGTCGCAGCTCAGAGAACAGACAATGGTGACCGTCTGTTGCAACTATGCTCAGACAACCGCCTATTCTTAGCAAACACTAACTTTAGGCATAAAGAAAAGCATCCGTTGACCTGGCGACCTCCAAAGTCGTTTCAACGTTGGACTCAACTAGATCACATCGCCATCAGCCACCGATGGAGGGGTTCGATAGAGGACTGTCGCTCATTCTGGAGCACATGTCTAGATTCAGATCATGCCCTAGTGCGAGCGCGTATTTGTTTGAAGCTTACTGGGCGTAGGAAAGACATCGTAAGAAAGCCTTTTAGGGTTTTACTTAATGATAATAAGGCGAAAAATATATTTCAGGAACAACTAGAAAGACAGTTAGGCGACCATTTAAGCGATTCCCATCCGGAAGCAGGATGGAATGATATCAAAAAGGCTGTGGAAACAGCAGTGATATCTGCTAGTAAGGTTGACCATAAGGCTAGAATGAAGCAATGGATCTCAGTAGCATCCACCGAATTGATGGATGCTCGAAAACTCATCCCACCTGGCTCTGAGCATGATGAAGAACGAAGTCAACTTAGGCGCAGACTTATGAAAAGCCTACGCAACGATCGCGAACAGTGGTGGGTGGCGAAAGCAAAGCGATGGAAAAGGCAGCGGCGATCGGCAACAGTAGACAACTTTTCCGCCTTATCAAGGAAACTGGTATTAGGAATCCTAGTGTAAGTGAGACTATCTCAGAATATGACGGGACTATTATTTATTCTCAATCCAGGAGACTGGATCGATGGGCAGAACACTTTAGGGATCAGTTCAACTGGCCTCGAGCCACTCTTCAGTTACCCACGATCTCCAGTCATCCTGAATGGCAAATCGACCTAAGTCCCCCTAGTCTTAATGAAGTTGAAAAAGCGTTAGGAAATCTGAAGCGAGGACGAGCTGCGGGTCCTGATAGACTGACCCCTGAGATATTTAAGGATGGTGGTTCAGTTTTAGCAGCTAGATTGACTGAGATGTTAGGTAGAATCTGGGAACTGGACGTAATCCCATCCGACTGGTCTCAATCACTGATTGTCCCAATTTATAAGAAAGGACAAATGTCTTCTTGTGACAATCACAGAGGAATAAGTCTAACTAATATAGTATCTAAAATATTGGCCTCAGTAATACTTCGACGCCTAACGAAAGCTCGTGAAGAGCAAACTCGAGAAAACCAGGCTGGTTTTCGACCTGGACGTGGCTGTATAGAACACATCTTCACACTCAGACAGGTCCTGGAACACAGACACACATTTAGGCGTCCTACAATAGTTGTTTTCCTGGACCTTAAGGCGGCATTTGACTCAGTGGATCGTGAGGTTCTGTGGCAGTGTCTGTCATTGAAAGGTGTACCAAATAAGTACATTAACCTCATACAAGCTCTCTACTCAAACACCACTGGTCGAGTGAGAGCTTATGGCGAACTGTCACCGGAATTCTCTACTTCAAGTGGTGTCCGTCAGGGATGTCCACTCTCTCCATTCTTGTTTAATTTTATCATAGACATGCTCCTAGAAATAACCTTATCCTCGTCTGAATTTTGAGGAGTAGACCTTTTACCAGGTGGGTCGCTTATTGACTTGGAATATGCCGATGACATAGTCCTACTTGGTGAAGACGCTGACAAAATGCAGAGTCTTCTGACTACCCTAAGCAGCAATGCAAGCATGTTTGGGATGCGGTTTTCCCCCTCGAAATGCAAAATGTTGCTTCAAGATTGGGTTTCATCGGCTCCTGAACTAGTGATAGGGAGTGAAGTGGTCGAACGTGTAGACCGCTTCACTTATCTAGGGAGTCTCATCAGTGCTGATGGCCTGATGACTG